CAGGGTGCGAGCGTCGAGGGGCGCACTTTGATTGAGGAACAAGAATATGCACCGGTGGGGGGATCAACAATACTCATTCTTCAGGAATGAGAGTCCAACAGCAACAACAACAACGACAATCAGTTTAACCCTGCTAGTTTTTGTTTTATCTGCTCGCGTGTCAGCAATATGCATATCCCAAACCCTGGATACTCGCCCTCTTCGTATTCGATCGCGCCCTTTTTTTTTTGGGGGGGGGGCGGGGGCATATTCATTCCCTGCCACGCGTGGTTGGTGAAGCCTTTGGAAACGAAAGGCAGCGGATGACGGGGGGGAATGAAGACGAAGGGATCGGAGGAAGGGAGGGGAGAGGCAAGACGGAGGGAGGGCGATGATTTGCGCTGCGAGTGGCTATTCAGCTTGCGCCATGGCTTGCGCCAGCCACTCCATCGCACGTTAACGATGAGTTTCGCCGCGGGTCGCGCCATGAACAGCGCCGCGCACCGCCCCCTTGAAGAAATACATATCGTGGATGCCCCCGCGGGGGGGCGTGCAGCTTCGAACTGGTGTCAGAAACAAAATTCGTGGAACCCTGAGAAGAGGCGGGGTGTTGGGGGGCGGGGCGGAAGGGTCGCGAGAGCTGCAGCCGCGTCGAGAGGATCGCGGAGATGTGGAGTGGATTGGGATGGAGTGGGCGAGAGTAGGGTCCCAGAGGAGGGGCGGCAAGGAGTGTGGGGGGGGGGCCGGGAGGGGCGCGGAGGAGCGGGGGGCGCGCGGGGAGGAATCCGGAGGAGGGGCTGGGAATAATTTGGGAGAGAGACGCGGAATGCGATCGGGAAGGGGTGGAGATTGTTGGGGTTGGATGGGGCGGCCTGGGGGGGGGTGGGCGGAGTGCGAAGAACTGCGGGCTGGCACTATGGAGTGCGAACGAAATTCAAATGAAGATAAAGGGAAAGAGCAGAGAAGACTGGGAAATAACGCTGACAAGTAGGGGCAGGTGGATGCGAGCGGAGACTGGTGCAGAAACAAAGCGCGGGGGGATTGGGAGGCGCCCGGAAGCCCCTGTGACCTCCGCGGGGCCTCGGAATGGCCCCGATGGCCACCGAGCAATTCCAGGGGCTCCGAAATCCGAAAACCTGCGGGAACGTCCTGGGGGCCTCGTCGGGTGAGGCCTTCACTCGAAGCCTGCAGAAGAACCTGGGCCAATGGAACACGCGCGTCTCAAAGGCCGGCAAACCGGGCCCTGGCAGGCGGCGGGCCGTCGGTCTGGCCAGCGGCAGCGCTGGCGATGCACGCGCCGACCCGCGGCAACCCGACCCCGAGATTCCCCCCCTCCCCCAGAAAAAGAAAACCCGTCCACGGGCAAATCCGCTTCCCCTGAAGGGGGCTATGCCCGTGCGGCAAGGCGCGAAGGATTTCGCGCCGATGGGCGAAGGCGCGCGCCCGACTAGATAAACTACCCCCTGAGACCCGCCTGGGTTCCCGCATCCCACGCCGATGCGCGTCGAATCCGTGCGAGGGCATATCTCGGGATGAATTCTCCCCCGCTCGCACGTGTGGCTTCGAGGGTGCGATGCCCGTTAGAGAACGCGCCCAGGAGGATTGCCAGGGGCAAGAGACCGACGGCCGAGAGACCGAGGCGCCGAGGCGGGGGGAATGGGGGGGCTAACATCGAGCGACAAGGCAGCGAAGGCCCGTCGGAGAACCTCGCGCGCGCGAAGACCCGGCGCTCTGGGCAGTGCCAGAGCCGGTGCCCGCGCAAGTGCCCCTCGCGAGTCTAGTGCGAATTGGGGCCGCAAGCTGAGAAAGGACCCGCAGTAGCATGGCTGGTAAGGCCAAGCCGTTTCGCAAAAAGAGCGGGCACCTAGTGCCACGGTTGCCGATGCGACGCAAGGGCGCAGGAGGAGGGAAAGAGCCCAGCAGAGAGGGAAGCAGGAAGACAAGAGCGAACGGCAATAATATAGAAGTTGCTGAGGCCGCGCGAGGGGGGTGCAAGGCGCGGGAGGCTCCGCGAGCGAACCGTCCCTGACGCCCCCAGGAGGGTGAACGCCGCCCCCGAGAACGGGGGGCAGCGCGCGCATATAAAAAACTAGCGTATACATGCGATGCAACGCTGCGAACGAAACGGGAGGGAAGCGGAAGGCGAGGGGCGGGGAACTGAACACTGCAAAACTACCATTCCCCAGCGAACCGTAACAATGAACTCTCTGGCAACGCCAACAAGCTGCCCTGTGCGAAACCTGAGGCCGCTAACAGGGGCGCCACCTCCCGGCGGTGGACGGGCAAATCCAGCCCCGTCCGCCGGACAATCCTGCCTGCGCCAACAATGCGACACCCGCCTCAGAACAAGATCCCGGGCCCGGCCTCGCACCACTACGCGTCGAACCCATGGATGTCAGAGTCGCGTCGCTGCTCTTCTCGTTGCTGCTAAACAAAATGCCGCTGTTGGGCCGTACTGCTCAACGACGTGCTGCGGACCACGCTGCATGGCCCACACCTGGATGCCAGGGCCCTGCTCCTGTTCCCCAGTGCGCTGCAGGTGTGCTGCTGGTCGTCGTGCTACTGCTCACCAGTGCTGCTGGGCGTCAGGCTGCTTGCCGCCGTCGTGCTGGTCGGTGCTGGCATCGGTGCTGGTGTAGGCGTCGAGGTTGGTGCCGGCGTCGGTGCTGACATCAGTGCTGGTGTGGGCACAGGCGTTGGTGCTGGGCGCAGGCGCCGGCGTTCGCGCTGGCGTCAGTGCTGGCGTCGGCGCTGGTGTAAGCGCTGGCGTCAGTGCCGGCGCAATCGCAGGCGTTCGTGCTGGAGTTGGCGTTGGCGTCAGCCCTGGCGCAGGCGCCGGCGATTGTGCTGATGTCGATGCTGGCGTCGAAGCCGGCGAGGACGCCGGCGTTAGTGCTATCGCTGTTGCGCGTACGCTTCGTCTCCGTGACATGTTGATGTCTTTTGGTTGAGGGGGGGGGGGGAAGGGTTTGTCTCCCGAGCTCCGGCCATCTAGCTGCGGCCAAATGATGGCACAACCTGCGCGCTGTGATTCATGTTCTCCGTGGGCTTGCATCTTGCATCAAGATGCAAGCCCACGGATAACATGAATCACAGCGCGCAGGTCGGGCCGTCATTTGGCAACCCGACCCCAAGATGGACAGACAGCGGGCTCACCACGACGACGACGACCACGACGAGAGGAGGGAGGAGGAGGAAAAGGAGGGAGGAGGAGGAGGAGGAGGAGGAGGACGAGGAGGAGGAGGAGGAGGAGGGGGAGGAGGAGGAAAAGGAGGGAGGAGGAGGAGGAGGGAGGAGGAGGAGGAGGAGGAGGAAGGGAGGGAGGGAAGGAGGGGAGGAGGGAGGAAGGGAAGGAGGAGAGGGAGGAGGATGGGGGCTGAAGGGCCGACAGGCGGGCCCTCGGCAGGCGGCGAGGCAGTGGCACGGATTATCGGCCTGGCTGGCGGAAGGGTCGGAGTGCTGGGCTCCACGCGGCAGGCGGGCCCCAAGGGAGGCGGCCAGGGACGACGACGACGACGACGACGATAATGACGCTAAGGGGAAGGAGGGAAGGAGGGAGGGAGGGAGGGGGAGGAGGGAGCAGGGAGGGACGGAGGGACGGGAGAGACAGCTGCGAACAAAGAGAGAGAGAGAGAGAGAGAGAGAGAAAGAGAGAGAGAGAGAGAGAGAGAAAACGAGAGAGAGAGAGAGAAGAGAAAGAGAGAGAGAGAGAGAGAGAACAAGAGAGAGAGGGGCCACTGAGGGCAGCAACGGGGCCACGAAGGACAGCGAGCGAAGGCGACCGCGGAACCAGTACGGGCACGAGGGGCGTCGAAGGCGGGCGAAGGGCAGCGAGCGGCGACTGCAGTCCCTAACGGGCTGGTCGGGCGGGCAAGCCCAGACGGGCGGGTCGAGCGGGCGGGTCGTTGAAGCGTAAATTCTGCTTGAACCGCCAGGCAATATGTAGCGGGAACGCGGTTCCTGAGTGTCGAGGAGCGGCATCTGCATACATTGTGAAGAAGTATCCATCGGGAGCCGCGATTCGGTGGTAAGTTGCAAAGAAATCCCAGGCGAAAGCGCGATTCTTTAATAAATTGTGAAGAAATATCAAGCGTGAGCCGCGATCCGGATGTAAATTGAAAGGAAGTCCCAAGCGAGAGCGCGATTCTTCAATACATAGTGAGGAACTATCAGGCGGGAGCCGTTGTTGTTGTTGTTGTTGTTGTAAACTGGGGGCCAACAGCGCAATTTGACCCTCAAGACTTTCCCTGATAAAAAGCAGGGTGCGAGCCCCGGGAAGGGCACTTCAATCGACAAAAAAACAATGTGCACCGGACGGGGGGGATCAACACAAAATATTCTTCAGAAGAGAGAATTCAACGAGAATCCGCACCGCTTCAGTCACGCACCCACTGACACTGCAAGAGCGCTCGGCACTCTGTCTGATATAGCGTGCGCCTCATTATACGTACGGGTGGTCGAGTATATACATAAACATAGACTCGGGCTGGGAGGATGGCAAGCGAGGACACACAAGTCGATTCACAACACGCACTGCCTCGTTGCAGCAACTTCAACTATGATAAGAAGACGCTGCGTATGGCTGGAGAGGGGAGCGATTGCGAGACCTGAGCGAGCAAAGAGATCGGACCAGGAAAACGACATGCGCAAACGCGATACTTCAACATGCCAGATCGGACGGCATACCCAGGCATCTGGCGACGGCGAGGGCCCCCTGACGCCGAAAACTATGAAACACCAAAGCCTTGTTTTTTTTACGACGTTGGATGTCTGGGTACGCGCGTGGGCATTGAGAAGTTACATTGGCCATGATTGCTTGAGGAGACGTAAGACTCGCGTTTGTGTGATTCGGGTTTGCCTGACGGGGTCGCCAAGAACATGACGAGACCCAATCTGAAATTTGACGCGAGCCCCCGCACCATCAAACTTCAGGACGGGCCGTGAAAAAGCGCCTGCTAACCCGACAACCATGCGAACTCGAGACCTACGTTTCCCCGAAACGAAGCCGTGGCTGCCGTGGCCTGCCGCCTCCGTACCAGCCCGGAGGTGGCCACGACGGGAAGCCGAAGGGCGGCGGACCTCGCGGGCACACGGGGGTACGGCGGGGTCGCCGACAGCGCCAGCTCACAAGCAGGCGGGCACCACACTCCAGGAGGAGGGCGGAGGCAAGACACCCTCCTCGCCTGGTAAGGCTGTGGGCTGCGCACAGGCAGCCCCCCCAGACAGTCCTGGCTGGCTCCCACGAGTAGCCTGGGGTGGTCTCAACACCTGGGGCGCTCTGGGCCCCAAGGGCGCCGCCAGAGGCGGCGCCAAAGTGTTGAGACCGCCCTGGGCTACTCGGGGAACCTATGGATGCCAGCCGTGACTACCTCGGGGGGCTATCTGTGCGCAGCCCGAAGACTTACATTCCACGTCTGCCTCCCCCTGCTGCTGATGCTTCTCCTGTTGCTCCTCCTTTCCGTTCCCAGCAGTTGCACGGATGGAGGGCAACCAGTTTCCAAAGTGGGACCCTCGCCTTCGCGCCGCGCACAGTGGTCTTGAACGTTTCCAGCAATCACAAGGATGACCAACTGTTACTTTCAGCATGGGGCTATCGCTCGCGATTTCCTGAACGTTCTCGGCCCGACGTGTAACATGGTGCAACACAATCAGGGATGGAAGGCGGTTCCTTTTCAGAATCCCGCATGTGACGCTCTCGGAGTTATGACTCGAAGCGTGAGCTTACGAAGCAACTGCAAGGATGGAGGGTGGCTCCCTTCCATCATGGGACTCACGCTTGGGGGGCCTCCTCCCGAATGCGGCCCGAAGCGTGAACCTGCGCAAGAGCCGCATGGATCGAGGGCGGCCTCTCGTCAGATCGGGGCCCTCGCTGGACGCTTCCTGCAGCTCCTCGGTCCTGCAGCGCGGCCTGAAGTGACCCCTGTGCAGCGCGGGGCTCTCGTCTGCACGGCAGGCCCGCGGGGCGCTCGCCTTCTACAAAGGGGCGCCTGCCGTTGTCAAGAGCGAGTGCCTGCAGGGATCTGCGAGGAGGAGACCTCGGACGGTAGGGTGCACTGCAACATCGTTGATTCACCCTGGGTTTACCCTGGTCCTTCTCCTCCGTGTCTTCCTCCTCCTACTCCTGCTCCCTCTCTCCCTCCCTCCCTCCTCTTCCTCCCTCCTCCTCCCTCCTCCTCCTACTCCTCCTCCCTCTCTCCCTCTCTCCCTACTCCTCCTCCCTCTTTCCCTCCCTCCTAAGACGAAGCCAGGACGAGCATAACATCGGGTGAAGATACATCGAAAATCTCTGGGATCTGGCGGCTCTGGAGGAAGCATCGGGCGCCGCGGCCTTCTCAGAGCGTCTTGGAACGCTCTGAAAGCGTTCTTGAACGCTCTGGAACGGATTTTTCCTCGTCCCAGCCCCGTCCGACCTCCTTCCTTCCTCTTCCTCCCCTCAAGAATAGCCTCCAAGAGGTCGAGAGATCACCTTCTGGACGGCCTAGACACCGCCGAACGGCGCCTGAAAACACTCCAGTCACGCATCAACGGGGCCTCAAAACTGCTCTGGGCTGGCCCGAAACGTCTCGAAGACAACTGAAGACTGTCTTCGAAGGCCCTGACATTCCCCCAGATGGCTTCAATTCCTTACAAGACGGCCCAGGTATCCCAGCAGGTCCAGAAGAGGGGTCCAAGATACCGCCGAGAGACTATCCAGCAGGCTGCAGAGAGGCCAAATACATTGAAAGAACGATACCCCCTCCGCACATGAGCAGAGCAACATACGAGTGCCAAACATCGAGGACTTCAGAGAACGGTCCCCAAATCTGATAGAATCCCAACCATAAACAATTGTGGATACAGCGTTCTGAGTCCATCGTTCGACGGGCCTCCCTATGGAACCACGAACCGTGTGAGAGGTGTGCCGAAATCGGCGGGGAACCGCATGCGGACCCTGTCACTGGGGCCTTCGGAGGAACTCCCTATGGGCCACGAAACGTGTAAAGTGTGTGCCGAAATGGGCGGGGAACCGCATGTGGACCCTGCCACTGAAGCCTTCGGCGGAGCATGGGGCCACGAAACGTGTGAGGGGTGTGCCGAAATGGGCGGGAACCGCATTCGGTGGAGCCCCCCATGGGACCACAAAACGTTTGAGGGGTGTGCCGAGCCCTGCATCTGCGTGGCGATTGCGATTTCCCATCAAGCTGTCTTACTATTCGAAAAGGTCGTAGGATAAAATAACATTTTGAGAGCGGCTCACCCTGCATACGTGCATGTGTCACTTGGACCCCATCTCTGGAACAACAAATTGTGAGGATGCACCTGGCGAGAAGCGACCAGACCGGGCCGCCGACACACACGGTGGTGCAGCGAAAGCGATACCACTCGCAGAATGGAGGAGTGGGGCGGAGGAGGACGGGGATGCTCAGGAATAGAGAAAAACGCATGACATTACATTTCGGAGTTCCGCGCGGATTTCTTGGATCGTCGCTGGGGCAATGCTGGCGGCGCCTCGGGCGCCGTTTCCGAGAAGTCCGCGCGGATCTCCGAAAATTCATGCTCATGTCTTCTTCCTTCGACCACCACGAGCGGTCCCGCACCACCGAACTCGTCCTGCGCCCACGGGCCCAAAAGAGGGGCCGATCCGAAACTCGACCAAGTCCGGCCTCGCCGACCTCCCCGAGTTCGGGCCTGCCGCCCTGCCGCTTCCTCCTCTCGGGGACCCGCCGCCCCAGGCTCGCGGCCTCGGCGCGGGAAGATCACTCCCCGAGGGGCCAACCCTCGCACAAGGCCGATCCCACTCCCAGAAGCGGCGATCGGGGCGGGTTTGGGCGACGGCACCCCGCCTTCGAGGCCAGAGCGCTCTCGGGAGGCGTTCGGGAGGGCAGGAAGGCGCTTCCGAGCGCCCGCTGCGGCGGGAAGGGTGCTTCCCCTACAAGCCCCACGCCAACCGCCCCTCGCGGCCCTCGGATCGGCCCCCTCCCGAACGATCTGACACTAGAGAGCTCCTCCAGCAAACTTTCCCAAAAAGGCTCACGGACTCGCCAGAGGTACAGCAAACAGTTGTGCCGTCACTGGCGCTAGCGAGTGCTCGCGGGGGCTTCCTGGAGCACGTGCAAAGTGGCACGCGAGGGCTGCAATGCGGTGAGGGAATTGGATAAGGAACCATTGCGTAAGGAATACAGGGTCTGGAAGCTGGTGGAACTCCGCTCGTGGATCGGCCATGGGTATCACTGCCGCCCTCATCAGTTAAGGAATCTCCCAGGGTCTGAAGCCTCCTGGGCACATTCCTTGACCAACGCCCCCAACGGAGAGCCCCCGCTTCTCCTCCAGGGCAGCGCGGAGCCCTGCGGGGCTGTGTCCGGGCCACTGGCGGACTGCTCCACGCCGGCCGGCCCGCTCCTGGCTTCCAACCACCCAATGTCCTCCACCGCTTCCACACCCGCAGTGTCATCCTCCGTGTCCTGGAAGGCACAGGCCAGAGACGGGGAATACTACTCCAGGCTGACCCATGTTTAAGCCAACCAAGTGGAATGTGATCGAGCATCTTATCATTGGCGATTCTTGCTTCCTGATGGGCGCCGTGGTCAGATGCCAGTCGACCAATCTCATGATGCCCTATGTTGACGAACCGATCCTCCTCCTAGCAGCGATTCAATCCTGCCTCTTCACATGCAAACTGGTCGGCCGCCTGATTCCTCCCAGCCACCGAAGAGAAACAAAACATCAATCCTCCTCCTCCTCCTCCTCCTCCTCCTGCCATTGCTGCTGCTGCTCTTCCTCCTCTCCAGAATAAAAACCCAGAACTGTCCCGCGGTGCAGTCTCATCAAAATTTCGAGGCGGATCCTGCCGTGGTCAGGACAGCACCCCTGCAGGCCCAGAGGGGCCCTGGAGCGTCCAAAAGCTTCAGACATCGATCCTCCTACTGGGGGTGCGAAAGCAATATCGATGGCACGCCGCCTTTGGGAACCCATCAGCGTGCGAAACACCACGTCTCCGGACAACAACGAAGGAATCACACGCTGACGAGCTCCCAGCGGCGGCGCGTCATCGAGACTAGCGCTCCTTTTCCCTCCCTCCCTCCCTCCCCCCCCTGCCCTCCCGCCCCCTTCTCCCTCCCCCTGCCCTCCCGCCCCCTTCCCCCTGCCGCCCCCACAAGGCGCCTCCAGGGGGGCCGCCGCCAGGCCCGCCGGGAGGACCGCCGGGGCCTCGCTCACGGGGCGGAGGGCGTTGGCCGAGGGGGGGGGGCGGAGCCTCGCCTGTCCCGCCGCCCCTCCGGGAGGGAGAGAGGGAGCTCGGGGGTGGGCGTTGCAATTTTTTCACGCCGCGCGTTTTCGCCCAACTTCGGGCCCACGGATCCTCACATATCGATCTAGCCCGAAGAACGCCGCAGGAAGTTGGGATCTAGGGCTCTGGCCGTACTTTCCTTTGCGATGTTACTCCTGTTTGTGGCTTTTGTTGTTCCCGTCGTACTTCAGGACCGCATCCCGGAAATAATTTCGAACACCCAGAAACGTATCGAAGCAGTGACTGCCCGACACGCTGGCGAAGTGCCGAACGAGCATCGCCTCCCAAGGCCCGACACGTGAAAACCCTCCAGTTTCGATCCTGCCTCGGTGCTCGAAATTATTCCTGACTGGTCACCCAAGACAATTGGCGGCGCGGCCCGCGCCTCTTGAGGAGCAGCCTCCTTCTAAGAAGCCTTCTCTTCCCCCCCCCCGTGCGCGCCGCCAAAGCAAAAGTAGGTCAGAACATCACTCGGGGGCGGCCTCGAGGGGGGCGTCCAAGAGGTGGGGCTGCAAATCATGGCCGGCGGCATGTGCGCGGTCCAAGGTGGGGGGGGGGCAGGGACGCAGGGACGTAATGAAATAAGGAGAGGCGTCATGAAATCTTGGGAAATATCATGGCCCACGCCATGATACCCAACCCCCCTCGTCACCACCCCCGTCTTTGCCGCCCCCGAATCGCATTTTGTGACGTCGGATCTCAAGGGAGACCTGGCGAGCGAGCGAGGCGCGGATCGACGGCACGCGCGGCGGGGCGAGCGTGCCCGTGCCCCCGTGGGCGGGACGCGCGGCGGGGCCGCAGCCAACCGGAGAGCTCGCCAGGGGCATGCCCGCAGGAAGTCCAGCTCGGGGGGACGGAAGTCAAGGCGCCCAAATCCCAAGATGCCCACTGTTTTCCATACTTTCTGGATTTACGTCTTCGCCTCAGTTTCCACTACAGGCTCGGAAGTATCTCTCTTAACACCACGCCAAGGCCGCAGTAACACCTGAAAGACACGCGAAGGCTTCTGCGCCCAACCCCGTCCGCATCAGCGGGCGCGTGGTCCAACCGCCCCCCATACAACTACAAACGGGCTTTCGCCTGCGGGGGGGGGGCCTGGGGTGATCCACTCCTTGAATAAAGACATTATTCGGGAGATTGGATGAAGCATGGTTTGGGCGATTCTGGCCCGTGCTGTGGCCGCGCGCCCCGCCTGAGACACCCTCAGAATTTGCTTGGTTTGGCTTGGTTTGGGCCCGGTTTCGCCTGAGACGTCCTCGAAATTTGCATGGTTTCGCCCTGACTTGAATGGCGGGCGTCATGGGTGTGGACATTCCCAACACGCTGTGGATCGGCATGGGCGTGTGTGGCGGCGTTCGGAGAAAACCCTTCCAATGCTGTAGCTTCTCATATCTTGAAAGAAATCTACGATTATTTGTCTGTGCCCATTTTCTCTTCCTGGGCAATGGGTGGGGCCCCGAAACGATGTGGTTGCACACTGTGGGGTGACCTCGAAATCCCAGAAGACCTCACCGCACGGTCCGTCACCCCACGGTCCTGGGACCCTGGAGGCCCCGGTCGGGCGGGACGTGGGACGTCCCCGGAGAACGCCTCGAGCCCCAAAACCGTGTGGTGACCCCGACTCCCCACGGAACCGCCACACGGTGTGGTCACCGCACCGTCTGGGGGACCCCGAGGCAGGGGGGCGGGAGAGGAACCAAGACCCTTCCGAGGGACACACTGCCACAAGAGCGTAGAAGGCATGGGCCGCCAAACACTGGACAGAAAGGGTCCCCCAATCAAGGACACAACTGTACGATATCAAATTCTCCTGTTGTTGGGTGCACCTAGCCTGGTTGAGCGTGCTTCACTCGAAGGCTCTCCCTCTCGACACCCCGAGCCAAGGACGCATACCGAAGGAGACAGATCGCGCTGCATGCGTTGCAACTCTGTCATGCAACTCTGCAACTTGGCGGGGCCGCCCCGCGAATCGAACCCCGCTGCAAGGGACGGGCCAGCGAGTGCGCCGCAGACAGCCGGCCTCCCCCCCGGCGCCGTGATGCGCCCAGGGCGGCCACGCATCGAGGAGTGTGCCCGGCGGCGGGGCCGAAATCAGCTGCAGGCAGGTCCTGCAGATTTCGCCCGCCCCCCGCCCCCCCTCCAAAGCCGTAGGCAGAATCGAGACAGCATCGGACCGATATACATCAGAAATCTATGAGAATCGGCGGGTTTGGAGGATGTATTGGCCACCGAAGCCGTTTCAGAGCGTTCCGGAACGCTCTGGAACGGATTTATCTCGATGCTAGGCCTGTCCGACGGACGGCGGAGAGCACCTAGGATAAATACTTTGTGCGTTTCCGTTTTTTCGTGGCCTCTCTGGAAGCTCGAGGCTAGAAGCTTCGGGCCTCGTTTGGCCTTTTGGAACCGCCGTAAAGGCCTCTGGGCGCCTCGGGGATCTCGTCGGAGACATGTCTGGGTCGTCGAACGTCGGAAGAAGCGTCTGAGACATCTGACCTGGGAAGGAGGAACTAAGGACGAGGGAGGATGAGTGCCGGGGCCAGAGGAAGGAGGAAGAAGGGATGGAGAAGGGAGGGCTTGGTTTGGCTTGGGTTGGCCCTAAGGGCGGTCAGAGCTGAGGCTTCCCCGAAGCCCTCGTGGTCGGACTCATCAAAATCGGAGTCCGACCCTGCAGCTGCACGATGGATCACTTGACGACCCAACAGGGAGAAGGGAGGGAAGGAGGGAGGCGGAGGAGGGATTCTCCCCACCTCCTGTCCCCTACCAGTCCTGGTTCTTCTCCTCCGTGCCCGTCCCCGTCTCGTTCTCGCCCACCTCCCTTGCCCCGATCTGGAAGGCGGTCACCGTTGGCTGCGGCCGAGGCGGCCTGTGCCGCCTCCCGGCGAGGGCCGAGGCAACGTGGCGAAGTTGCCTTGCGGATCCGCAGTCGCTGGCACTACGAGCAGCCAGAGTCCGCAGAGTGCCTCTGGCGAAGGCCCCGTGCAAACTCATACGCTCGGGAACATTTGCTTAGCGTGTCGCAGCGGCGGCCCTGGCTACACGCTAGGCCTTGCGGGTGGATAACGTGTCGCCCCGCTCCGAGGTGCGGGAGGCGGGGAAAAATTTGGCACGTGGACGCCTGGGGAGCGCAAAGCGGATACCGTGTCGCGCTGAGGCGTGGTGGGCCAAAACCGATGGAGCGACACGCTGACCAAAAGCTCCCGACCGTAGTGTCCGCAGAGTGGCTCTGGCGTGGACCTCGTGCAAGCTCATATGTCATCGGCGCGAAACTTTTGAAACCAGATCTGAAACTTGCTTCTTGCCGGTCGCCCCAACACGCAGCATGCCGATGGTACCCAATCCTGCGTCAATGCTTCCATGTTGCATCACGTTGCGCCTGACATCTATCCGCTACTACTCGATATTCTCACAAGCAATGTGTTTCCCGATTGAGCGTACAATCTGCTATGTACTTCGGCGTCGTTTCCGACCAATTCGTATTCATACGCGCCTCTTCGGAACATTGCACCCATCGGCCCTGGCTCATCGATGGCGCAAATGACGTCGCGGGGAGGCTTCTGAGACCTCCGAGCGGCATGCCATCGACGCCACCGACAACCGCAATCTGGTCTCCTAACGCTATCGTTGCCGCCTCCTGCTGCTCCCAGTCCCACCCCGTCGGTCACTTCTCCCGCGTCCCCCTCTGCAATTACTCAGCAGTGATGATTACTTCATTCCTCTCTCCCCATGCGCCGTCTTCATTTGCCGTCACCTACCCCACATATTATTATTCACACGCAGGATCGCACATGAGATTTCTGGTATCATTTTTCCAATCACAACGTTCTCGGCCCCTCAGATGTCGTGCTCTGAGGCGGCGCGTTTCACGGGCACTTGCCTTGGGAACATTCGGCGGCGCGTTTCGAACCAGGGGGTGGGCCCCCCCCAACACTCGGCGCCGTCGATCAGAACCAGGGGGACTCTCCTCCCCTCTTACTCCCCCTCCCCTCTTACTCCCCCTCCTCACGAACCCCCTCCCCGCTCCCCCCCTCCTCCCAAGGGGGGGGAAAGGGGTCCAAACAACCCCCCCCCTGGCGCCGGCGCTGGCGCTGGCGGCCGCCGCAGCGCCAATGCAGCGACGATGACCAGAGAGGGCCCAGGAGGGGGGGAAAGGGTTCAACCCCCCCCACCGCGACGGCGCCGGCGCCAGCGCTGGCGGCGGCCAGCAGCGCCGACGGCGGGGACGCAGCGACGATGACCAGAGAGGGCTCAGAGGCCGCAGAGGGAACACACAAATCGCCATATCGAGCCCTCGCATGCTCCTCAGACGCCCCCGAGACCCTTCTGACGAGACCTCAAAAGGCTTCCATTAGAACTCTGACCCTTTGCCAAAACACAATGGCGGGAAGAGCCGAAGGCCACCCCACCACCACCACCGCCACCACAGACCACTATACCACCACCACCGCCACCACCACAACCACCACCACAACCACCACAACCCACCATCACCACAACCACCACCATCATTACAAACCACCTCACCACCACAACCACCACCAAAAACGGCACCACCACCAGCACCACCACAACCCACCACAACACACCACAACCACCACCACCACCATAAACCGCCACACCATTACCACCACCATCACCACCACCGCCACAACCACCAGCATCACCACAACCCAACACCAACACCACCACCACAAACCACCACACCACCACCACAACCACCACAACCACCACCACCACCCACCACCCACCACCCACCACCCACCACCCACCACCACCACCACCACCACTACCAGTAGCACCACCACCACCACAACACCACAGCCCACCACCACCACCACAAACCACCACGTCACCACCACCACCGCCACCACCACGACCACCACCATCACCACCTCAACCCATCATTACCACCACCACCAAACCACCACACAGGCACCACCACCACAGCCACCACCGCCACCACAGACCACCATACCACCACCACCAATACAATAACCCACCACCACTACCACCGCCATCACCACAATCTACCACACCACCACCACCACCGCCGCCACAACCACCACCACTACTACCAGCAGCACAACCCACCACCACCACCACAACTACACAAACCACCTCACCACCACCACCACCCCACCACCACCACCACCACCACCACCACCACCACCACCACCACCACCACCACCACCACCACCACCCACCACCACCACCACCACACACCACCACCACCACCACCACCACCACCACCACCACCACACCACCACCACCACCACCACCACCACCACCACCACCACCACCACCCACCCCCACCCCCACCCCCACCCCACCACCACCACCACCACCACCCCCGCCGCCTGCCTGAGGAGAGAGAGAGAGAGAGAGAGGAGTAGGGGAGGGGGGGTGTTCGAACCCCCCCCCTCCGTCACGGGAGAGGGGGGGCCGGGTTCGAACCCCCCCCTCCCCGACTTCTCCTCTCCTGATCGTCTCTCAGCGTGGTTCCTGGGGAGGAAGATTCTAGGACTTGTCGCCATGGCTGGAAACGGTGACTCGTCGCTTCTGGTCGCTCTTCCTTCCGCCCGTGTCCGGCATCAAGTGTCGGTATTCGCTGCCAAGACAGTGTCGCTTGCTCCTGGGGGGGCTCGAAGGGGCCCCCTGAGGTCCCTCTGGTGCTCGCAAGGGGCGTCTAAATAGCGCCAGGGGTTCCGGGGCTGCCGTGGTGGCTCGCAGGGGTTTCCTGAGGGCCCCGTCGTGATTAAAGTGGAGCCTCGGTGCTGCCAGGGGTGCCCCAGGAGGGCGCTTGGCAGAACGCTGCTTCGTCTGCAGGCCGTGGGTTCGTTGCTGGCGTCGCCAGCTTCCCCGCCCTCCCTCCATGGTTGGTCCTCCCTGGTTGGTCTGGTGTGTTGGCCGGTGGGGTCTCAATATCTCTGTGAGGGTCTCTCGATCGCTCCAGGCTGGCCGCACCGAGTGCATTGCACAAAGATCTGTCCAGGCACACTGGACACCCCAGTGGGGAAGCAGCCCACTGGAATCTTCCCTCCACATTCCTTCTATCCTCCATCTCCTCCGCCTCCTCCCCTGAGATCCGACGTCGCGGAAAAAATGCAACTCCGTGTGAAATCCCGACGGGCGCCCCAAACCTCATCTTTCTGCGTCATTTCTCGTGCCAGATCCATCTGTGAAAGCCCCGGGGCCCGGAAACGGGCGAAAACGCCCGGTTCGAACAAATTATCCCGGCAAAGCAACCTAACAGCGATGTGTACAAGCATATCTGGAAGTATTGCCCTTAAGATTCAGGTGATAATCCAGTTGTAGAATTCTGCTGTTCTTGCAGTCGCAGCCTCAGCCTGCCTGGGCTTGCCTCGGCCTCAGCCTCAGCCTGCCTCGGCCTCAGCCTCAGCCTCAGCCTGCCTCAGCCTCAGCCTCAGCCTCAGCCTCAGCCTGCCTCAGCCTCAGCCTGCATCAGCCTCACCCTCAGCCTGCCTCAGCCGCAGCTTGCCTCAGCCTCAGCCTCAGCCTCAGCCTCAGCCTGCCTCAGCTTCAGCCTCAGCCTCAGCCTGCCTCGGCTTGCCTCGGCCTCAGCCTCAGCCTGCCTCAGCCTCAGCCTGCCTCAGCCTCAGCCTCAGCCTCAGCCTCAGCCTGCTCAGCCTCAGCCTCAGCCTTCAGCCTCGGCCTCAGCCTCAGCCTGCCTCAGCCTCAGCCTCAGCCTCAGCCTGCCTCAGCATCAGCCTGCCTCAGCCTCAGCCTCAGCCTGCCTCAGCCTCAGCCTCAGCCTGCTTCAGCCTCAGCCTCAGCCTCAGCCTCGGCCTCAGCCTCAGCCTCAGCCTGCCTGCTCAGCCTCAGCCTCAGCCTCAGCCTCAGCCTGCCTCAGCCTCAGCCTCAGCCTCAGCCTCAGCCTCAGCCTTGCCTCAGCCTCAGCAGCAGCCTCAGCCTCAGCCTGCCTCAGCTTCAGCCTCAGCCTCAGCCTGCCTCGGCTTGCCTCGGCCTCAGCCTCAGCCTGCCTCGGCCTCAGCCTCAGCCTCAGCCAGCCTCAGCCTCAGCCTCAGCCTGCCTCAGCCTCAGCCTGCATCAGCCTTAAGATTCAGGTGATAATCCAGTTGTAGAATTCTGCTGTTCTCGCAGTCGCAGCCTCAGCCTGCCTGGGCTTGCCTCGGCCTCAGCCTCAGCCTGCCTCGGCCTCAGCCTCAGCCTGCGTCAGCCTCAGCGTCAGCCTGCCTCAGCCTCAGCCTCAGCCACAGCCTCAGCCTCAGCCTCAGCCTGCCTCAGGCTCAGTCTCAGCCTGCCTCAGCCTCAGCCTGCCTCAACCTCAACCTCACAGTTGGCTCTGGGCAATCAAAATATAGCCTGGGAATGGTGCTCTGGGAACACGAAGAACACGAAGTGGCCTACAGTTGGCTCCGGGCAATCGAAATGTAGCCTGGGAATAGTGCTCTGGGAACACGAAGAACACGAAGTGGCCTACAGTTGGCTCCGGGCATTCAAAATGTGGCCTGGGAGTGGTGTCCTGGGAACACGAAGAACACGAAGTGGCCTACAGTTGGCTCCGGGCATTCAAAATGTGGCCTGGGAATGGTGCTCTGGGAACACGAAGAACACGAAGTGGCCTACAGTTGGCTCCGGGCATTCAAAATGTGGCCTGGGAATGGTGCTCTGGGAACACGAAGAACACGAAGTGGCCTACAGTTGGCTCCAGGCATTCAAAATGTGGCCTGGGAATGGTGTTCTGGGAATGGATTCCTAAGGATTCCTGAGAATTCCTAAGGATTCCTGGGGCTGCCGGTTTTGTCCGGTTTTGTCCGGATCCTGCCCAGACCCCCCTGGGGAGTCATGATGCTCTCTTTTGACACTACTAGAAACCTATCAGTCTTCACTGTTAGGTAACTTAGACGCCAAGATCTCAGGGTCGTCCTCCCTTCGGAATTCCTTTCCTCGCGTCATCCACCTCCTCCGCCTCTCCCTCCTCCTCGCCCTCCTCCTCATGCACCCTCCTCGTGGGGTGTGGGGCGGGCAATACAGTCGAATCTGGGGCAGAAGAACATCCGTCAAGGACACGGGACCCTCCGCCGGCCAACACGCACAGAACATCCAAGGGTACCCTCCCCAGGGTGCACAATAACATCCAAGAGAAACAAAGAACATTAGGGTACTTATTCCTCGAACCAACCTCGATCTTTTTACCTCGGTCCGACTGTGGGCCCCCACAACAAGGACTTTCTGACAACCCAAGACAGTTTGGCGTGCCCGAGGAAACCTGCAGCCGTGGGTCGCCACACTCTCCGCTCTTCGCTCCCTCCAGAAAAAGAAGGGTCCTGTGCGAGAGGACGCAGTGACCTTACGCCGCGGGCCGCCAACGGGCACGCCACGTTGGAAACGAAGGCGCTTACGCGCGACCTTACGCGGGCAACTTACGCGCCAATGTCCGTGAGGACGACGGTGGAGCCCCCTTATGGGGCCACGAAGCGTGTGAGAGGTATGCCCAAATGGGCGGGGAACCGCATGCCAACTTTGCCACTAGGGCCTTTTGTGGAGCTTCCTATGGGGCCACGAAGCGTGTGAGCGGTGTCCCGAAATGGGGCGGGGAACCGCATGCGAACTTCGCCACTGGGGTCTTCGGTGGAGCTCCTTTGGGACCCTGTTTTTCTGCGTCGCCCAGGTGGGCTTTTCAAGGTCCTGGCTGGCACTGCCCTGGTTGAGGGGGGCCTCCGAGGGCGAGGGGGCGGATCGCCCCCCAGGGCGGGAGAATGGCGGGGGGCGAAAATGGCGGCAAAGGGGGGGGGGGGCCCTCGCAGACCCACAACCGGGCGGGTGGGGTGGTAGTCCAGGGCGGGAGAATGGCGGGGGCAGGGGGAAGTGCAAGGGCGAAGAAAACGGCAAATGGGGAAGGGGGGGTGGGCTCTCGGGGACCCACAAAAGGGCACCGGGGGGGGGACGAATGAAAAAAACGATACCGCTACTCCTAGGACCTCACCAGGGGTGCGTTCTGACCGGAATGTCGAGGCGACTCCAACGGTGGCGGCGGGGGAAAGGCAACGCTATCGGTACACCTTCCTCTTCTCAGTTCTGGGACCTCCGACTTCCTGGAGCTCCACGGAGGCCCCAGGGGGCCCTCTGGGAGCCCACAGGGTCCCCTCAGGCGTCCAATATAGGGCGATAATGGTGTCATGATGGGATTGGCTCAGGATGCGTTCCAAGATTTCCAGCAGACCTAGCGGCGCAACAGGTGCGGAATGTGGAAAATATGGGAAATCTCGGAAGCCCTTGAAATCCGGGAACTTACCTCATGATGACCTGCCCTCTTTGAAGTCCCCGAGCGGCGGCTCCGAGCAAGCCGCGGGGGGTGGGGGGTGGGGGGGCGCCGCGCGCGCCGCCTGGCGGCGGCGGGCCCATGCCGGGGCCGGCCTCCCCGGGTCTCGCGCCGCACGCGATGCCGCTGGAGAACAGGAGGACCAGGATCGGGATCGGGCTCGTGGAGTTCGCGTCTGCTTGACTCGAGCGGCTCGAAGCGTCGTCGTCGTCGTCGTCGTCGTCGTCGTCGTCGTCGTCGTCGAACGACGCCCGTTTCTATGTAAAACGGCGACCTTGCTGGCGGCGCCTGCTCTCGGGCAGGGCCGCGCTGCCCCGTCAGAGGCAACCTCCCACGAGGGCAGGAGGAGGAGGAGGAGAATTCGGGAGAATTCGGCGACGACGATGTCGGGTTTCGCCTGGACGACGGGTGTTGCCTCGGGGCCCAGGAGCGCTTGGGGCCCCTGGCGCAGCCCAAGGCCTCTGAGTTAAAGTGAAAGTGTCCTCCCGAATCCCAGGAGGGGGTGGGATGCTCAGCAGGATATGTAAGGCGTTGCTGGCAGCAAAGCGTGCGAGAGACAGGTATCGTTCACTTTGGCTCAAGCCGGTAAATGAGAAGCCTCAACAACTCTTTGAGGCCCCAGGAGAAACAGAAGACCTGGAGGACTCGGGCTCTAGCGTGGCAACACTTTGCCCTTAGACAGGCAAAATACGACACGCTTCCCATTCTTAGTGGGCGGGGCACCAGGATTAAAAAGCCCTTTGATACTCCCCCCCCGTCAGACGCTTTGGCTCGACGGCCACAAATGTTGCACCACCGCGTGGAGTAATATTCAGCATATTCCATAGTGTGCGAGTAGTGCATAGCTCTACGACCTATGTTGATCACATGTTGTTGGGCCCCGACCCTTCCGACCTTTCGAGTTTTAAGAGTCGGGGTCTTACAAATACTGAGCCATCGTTTAATGGTCAAGGAACCCGAATGCTTGCAAATTGCCTCGTTGCAGACCCTACACCGCCAACGACTACGACAAGCTTGGGGACTATGAGGGGAGGAGGTGATGGCCTGGCTCAACTCACTGACTTTCCGACTCTTCCTCTCCTTGGCCTCCCTCCTCTCGGGGATCTGCGTGGGCGGATCTCTGGCGACAGCGTCGGGGTGAGCGCGGGGGAAGTGTTTCCACGCAAGGGATGCGGTGGCTCGCACCCATTCGCACATGCGCATCTGGTGGCGCGACAGGCTGTGCGAGAGGGCACCTCGCTCAGCCAGTGCGTCTGCCACGGCGTTGCCGTGCCAGGTCTCCTCGTCGAGGTTCATGTTCTGCTGCTCCTCCGCGTCCATGCGGCTCGGGATGTGGCGCAGCTCGACCAGCGAGGCTGGATCGTCAAGGCCTGGGCTGCGACTCCGCAGCACCTGGTGCATCTAGTCCCAGATGTCCCGATTGGCCCTCTGACGTCCAGGCTGGCTGTGGTGCGATCTCTGCCAGCCGCGGATGGCCAAATCTGAGTCCGTCCATATCCGTGCCCGTCCTGTCGTAGACCTGAGCGCCTGGGCGATAGCCCGCAGCTCTGCTCGATTGTTAGTCTGACGTCGTCCTGGCAGTGGTCCGTACTGTGCCGTGCGTAGTTCCCATCCGTGATCAAGCTTCGAGAGTATCGCCCATGCCCAGCCGCATCTCCTGTAGCGTGGTATCTGTGCGTGCTCTCATCCGCTGCCGTCTGTGCTAATGAGTGTGTAGATGGTGCCGTCGTGCTCGAATGGCGTGCCCAGGTCGATGGGCTGGTTCTCGGTGTAACAGTCTGGTGGCGCTGCCCACTCTCGCGGCCCCCCCCCCTCCCCCCGCCACAAGCAGGGCGCGTGCTCGCTCCCTACGATGGCACGCTGCTGGAGTGATGCTGCTCTGTCATTGTCGTCGAGTTCCACTCGGCTGCCGCGGTCGCCCCAGACCCGATGTAGGCCATCTCCGATCTGTCCGCAACTGCATATGTTGCCTGTGTCGTCGAATGTCCTGCTCTTGCGGTCTGGCGCCCACATAGCCGCGCGCGCGATAGCCTGGAGCATACCCGCGTCATGTTGTTTGCCTTGTCTTCTCATTTTTTCGGCTTCCTTCTGAGGTCATAGGTGTCGATGCCACACCTGGAGCATTTGCCGAGCCAGTGTGCCGATGCCTTGGCTCATTGCTGGAGTTGGTGCGATTCCATGACTGCTTGGATGACGTCCGAAGGGGTCGCCCTGGTAATCGTGGTCGCTCATGCGCCAGAGGTTGCCGCGGCTGTGGGTCAACTCCGTGGGGGAGGTGGCGTTCCATCCTATCTCCCACAGGATGAGACAGACCGTGCCGATCAGCCCTCTGCGTTGCTTCCAGCGGAACACTGGTGGGGCGTTGGCAAGGAACTGGTCTATAATGAGCCTGGCGTGGTGCACCGCCCTCGCGCATGTTCTCTCGCTTATTCCATACGTCGAACCACGTGCTCGATACTCCACGTACTATAGAGACTGCGGGGTCGGCGCGGCGAGGGTGAGGTAGGCGTGGAGGCATCGGCCTGCCCAATGCCTGCCGAGAGCCTTCGCGCATCGTCTTCTGGCGGCGGTGGTCGCCGTCGGTGCCTCCCCGCATATCTAGCATCCGTAAAAATAGGACGTCATGGGGCCCTGTGGCACCAGGGCCTGGCTGCGCTGTGCTCGGACTCGTCGTAACTTGAGCGTGATACTGCGCAGGCAACCTGCTGCAAGTCGTCGTCGCTTGCTGTGGGTCGGTCTGCATGTCGGTGTTCTGCCAGCTCTGTCCCGCCCCACATCGCGTCCATCTGTTGCTGCCTTGATGGCAATGCCCCATTGTTGCAGCTGGCTGCAGATTTCATGCGCCATGCCCATGCTAGTGCTGATAACCACGCTCTTGTCTGCCATCGCCAATCCCTGCTTTGCAAGGCATCGTGCGTACGCCATGGAGGCGCTGATGGCGGTCGTGGTTGAGTGTTGTCTGTTTCCCGTCGCCCTGAGCTCCACATCGTCGAACCGGGCGCTGGGCACTGACGCTGGTGCCATGTAGTGCATGCGGTGTAGTACCTGGTACATGACAGCTCGTGCGAGGTTGTTCGCGTGCCTCGACCCCGCGACACGCGATCGCGATGCCCATATCGGATTGCCGTCTGTGGAAACTTGTCGTAGCAATCGAACGAATGTGTGGAGCTTCAGTTCTAGCGCCAGTACCCGCGGCGGGAACCGCATGTCTGGTGTCATAGACCACCTGCATCGGGCCGATGGTGTCGTAGAATCTCCGTATGTCGGCCAAGGTGGTTGCATGTGATAGCTGGAGTGCGTCGCATATATCGTCGCCCGGGGTGCGTGCTGCTGCTTCTCGCAAGCAGCTGCTGCCAGCCATGGCAGCGTCCCAGTGTCGTCCAGCGATGCACACCCACTTGTCCACCGTTGGTCTAGTAAGCTTCTCCCATGCTCTGCATAGTTGTGGTAGTAGTCACAGGGCTCTGTCTTCTTCTGATTTGGGCTGGAGCATGATGGTGGTGCTGTGGAGCTACCATGGCCATTCCAGCTCACGCTCGCAGCTGTTGAAAAGGTTGACTAGCTGCTGATATTGTCCGTGCCCTTGCCCCGGTCGGGCGAGCACCGCAGCGTTTAATCCAAATCGTCCAGGGTCCAGTTGATGGTCGGTGCTGCCTCCGCGTTCTCGCGGACGTCCTTGATGATGGTGACGAAGTCGCGATGGGTGAGCGTGGGGTGCCCGCAGCTCGCTGAACTCGTCGCACTTGGCGCCTATGACGGACAGTGGGCAGCACGCCTTCCCTCGAACATGGATGTACTCGTCCTCGTGCCGCGGTTGTGGTTTCATGATGTTGTGGAGCTTCCCTGGCGTCGCCTTCGTCGCGCCGGTAAGCCAGATCATGAAGTTGAGCGAGCGCGCTCGCATATCAAACCGAAGAGCCTTCTGCACCTCGCGCTCAGCCTGGTCGAGCATACCCAATGCTGTCTAGGTGGGAAGATGGTAGTCTTTGGAGCAGGTCTGCCCACAAGTCGCGATGCAACGCTGCCGCGGGGCTGAGACGTACTCCTGCTGTTTGGATGCTCGGGTCGGGCGAAAGGGGGGGATAGCAAAGGGGGGGTTTGAGAATCAGCTCACGCAGCTGATTTTCCCGGCGCCTCCCGGCGCCGGAGGCGGCTATGTATCGACGAACGGGCCCCTCGGTGAGGCCGAAACCAGCTGCATGCAGCAGATTTCGTAGCCCCCCCTTTCCCAATCCCCCCCTTTCGCCCGACCCGAGATGCCCTCATAGACCAGCTGGCGTGCTTCGGCTTCAAGGTGGTGTCTCTGACGGACTCATGGTCCTCGTTGCTGTAGCGTGGAGTATGCCCACAATCTCGTAGCGAGCTTCCTCCACGAGTCGGACTGCTTGTTGCTGTAGTGTGTCCGTCGAGTGCGCGGCTTCGCTCTCTTGGTGGCCATCCGTCGTGCGGAGCCTCGGCCCACGTACCGATGTCTAGCTTGAGGTTGGATGGAGTAGGCCGCGCAGTAGAACGGCTCGATGGCGCTGACGAGCTGGCCGTACTCCTGCCCCAAGGTCTTCACTGCCGATGGGTCCGAGAAGTAAGCCGCCGCGCGCTCGATGTAGTCGGGTGGCTGCTCGTACTCGGGTCGTGGCCGTGAGAGCTCCCGTGGTGCCTGCCGCAGGCTGTCCATGGTCCTGGTGTCAGGCATATTCTCGGAGTGCGCGCCTGGATGGGAGGGCTCGTCAGACGGCGTCCTGTCCGCCTTCCCAGGCGTGCTCGATGGTGTCTCGTGGGTCTGCGGCACCTCGAGCAGCGCGTCGAAGTAGTCGCTCGGCGGCTCCTCGTCGCATTGCTGCTCGATGGTGGCCTCCTGGTCTATGTCCTCGAAAGGGTCGCATTCGCTGTCCATGCTCATGCTGCTGGTCGTAGCGATGGGCGCAGGGCCAATCGCTGTGGTGCCGAGCTGCATCCATATTTGGTTCATCTCCTCTGAGGGCGTCGTAGTAAGCGGCGCCGTGGTCTGGTGTGGCGCTGTTCGGTACATCGCTGGCAGCCTGGTGCTCCCGTTGCATGTTCTGCTTCTGCCGCTACCTCTTGCTGTCGGGGTTGGGTG